TTTTTAAAAATATTCAAAAATGGAAAATAACCAAAAACTGGCCCTGATGAACAGCTAACACAGCCAAAAGACAGGGCAGTCGAGAGCAAACACCAACAGAAGAGTCTTCTCTTTTTTTAGAATATTTTTTTTATTTTTTTAAAGAATAAAAGACAGGTATTTTTTAAAAATATTCAAAAATGGAAAATTAACCCAAAAATGGCCCTGATGAACAGCTAACACAGCCACGAGACAGGGCAAACGAGAGCACACACCAACAGAAGAGTCTTTTTTTTTTAGAATATTTTTTGTATTTTTTTTAAGAATAAAAGACAGGTATTTTTAAAAATATTCAAAAATGGAAAATTAACCAAAAACTGGCCCTGATGAACAGCTAACACAGCCAAAAGACAGGGCAATCGAGAGCAAACACCAACAGAAGAGTCTTCTTTTTTTAGAATATTTTTTGTATTTTTTTAAAGACTAAAAGACAGGTATTTTTTAAAAATATTCAAAAATTGAAAATTAACCAAAAACTGGCCCTGATGAACAGCTAACACAGCCAAAAGACAGGGCAATCGAGAGCAAACACCAACAGAAGAGTCTTCTTTTTTTAGAATATTTTTTGTATTTTTTTAAAGAATAAAAGACAGGTATTTTTTTAAAATATTAAAAAATTGAAAATTAACCAAAAACTGGCCCTGATGAACAGCCAGCTAACACAGCCAAAAGACAGGGCAATCGAGAGCAAACACCAACAGAAGAGTCTTTTCCAAGAGCCAACCCAATGCAAGTCTTCCTAGTCTCAAGCCAACCCAAAGCAGCCAAGCAGCCCTCCCGGACCTCTCTCCTCCCTCGCCTCCGCGCACCAAATGAGCTCTGCGGCCACGCGGAGCCGCTTTTAAAGGCCTTGTCGGCCAATCAAATTCAGCCACGGTGCACTGCTTGGGTGCTTGGGAGCGCCGGATTGGCTCACAGGCACCAGCATCCTCCATCCAATTTCCGAAACGGGCGGAAGCTCGTTAAAAGGATGGGGGATGCCGCTTCGATATTTTTAAACCCTTCCGGGTTTGAAAAAGTATTTTGATATCGCTTCGTAAATGCTAAAAATAACGAATGTTTTACGAATAACGAAATTAACGAACGAAACCGCACAGGCCTAACACTTACATGTTACAGTTACAATCTGTTTGTAGATCTGTTTTCTATGGTAACTCTGGACATGAGAACTCCCAGTAGTTTATCGCAGGCTATCACTTGCATTGCAGTTTGGATAAGAACAGGAACAGCAGGTGTTTTGCTGTTTCTTTCCTCCAAACTTCCATGTAAGTCAAGCAAGGCTCTGCCTGTCCTTGATTCCCTCTATGTTTGTTTGGTTTGAGGAATTGGAAAAGAGGACAAATAGCGGTTTGGCTAGCAAGCCAAGCTGGCATTTGGGAGCCCTGCCTAGAGAAACAGATGCTGATCAGAACCACTTGCCAGATGCAAACCTCAAGACTCTTCCTAAAGCCTGAGGATAGTTTGCACACACATGTGCACACAAACATGCAGAATTAATCCCACCTTTGATGGTGGCTACACACAACCTTCAGGCCACTGGCAGGAAGCGGGCACACTGAAATTTTCAGGTGGTTTTCTTGGGGTTACTATGTGCTGGGTGGCTATGAGATCCAGTCATAAATCAGGAGGAAATAGGTTCCAGCCAGTTGGATTAAGAAGAAACTTTTACTGTCTTGAATGAAATGAATACAGTACCAATCACACAAACAGCCACAGCCTCAGACAGGTATTAAATTCTCAATGTTTTGCTTCCTCGGTTTTTATCACTAGTTATGGTATTTGCCTTTTGCCTGTCCAGAAGAGGAGGAAGGGGAAGAGTATGGATGCTCAACAACTGTTTGATCTTTGCTATAGTGGTTCTTGGGGAGGCTTGTATAGATTCATGTTTCTAGTTCATTTTAGTGTTCATTAGATAATTACAGTGTTTTAAAATAACATGCTTTGTTCATGTTTTTGTTGTTTATTTGTTCAGTCTCGTCCAACTTTTTGTGACCTCACGGACCAGCTCACACCACAGCTCCATGCTGGCCGTGGCCACCCTTAGTTCCTTCAAGGTCAAGCCAGTCACTTCAAGGATACCATCCATCCATCTTGTCCTTGGTCATCCCCTCTTCCTTTTTCCTTCCATTTTCCCCAGCATCATTCTCTTCTCCAAGGTTTCCTGTCCTCTCATTATGTGGCCAAAATACTTCATAATTGCTTCTAATATCCTTCCCTCCGGTGAGCAGTCGAGCTTTATTTCCTGGAGGATGCACTGGTTTGATCTTATTGCAGTCCAAAGTTTCCTCCAACAGCATGGTTCAAAAGCGTCTATCTTTCTTCACTCTGCCTTCCTTATGATCCAGCTTTCGCATCTATAGGTTACTACAGGGAATACCATTGCTTTAAATATGTGGATCTTTGTTGCCAGTGTGGTGTCTCTACTCTTCACTATTTTATCAAGATTGGTCATTGCTCTCCTCCCAAGAAGTAAACGTCTTCTGATTTCCTGGCCGCAGCCTGCATCTGCAGTAATCTTCGTGCCTAGAAATACAAAGTCTGTTACTGCCTCCACATCTTCTCCCTCTATTTGCCAGTTATCAATCAGTCTAGTTGCCATAATCTTGGGGTTTTTTTTATGTTTAATTGCGACCCAGCTTTTGCGCATTCTTCTTTCACCTTGGTTGGAAGGCTTCTTAGCTCCTCCTCATGTTCAGCCATCAAAGTGGTATCATCTGCATATCTAAGGTTGTTAATGTTTGTTCCAGCAATTTTAATTCCAGCCTTGGATTTGTCAAGCCCTGCACATCACATGATGTGTTCTGCATACAAGTTGAATAGGTTGGGTGAGACTAGACAGCCCTGCCATACTGTCCAAAGACTTCAAAAAATACCTAAAATGCTTTCTAAAAATACTTTTTAAAAGTATCTGGAAACACTCATTCCACCAATAATATGGTCTTCTCCCTACTAGTTGTTTATGAAATCTGGTTTGATAGTGACGTCACTTGTAATTCATTAATTCCCTGCTCAGTGTCCTATGATAGGGCCGAGGAAATAAGGACTGGAGGATGGAAATGCCAATCTCCAAAGCAACCAAAATAGACATACACAGACTTAAGGTTAAGTAATGCTTACATATGTCATTGTTTGTGTCGCCCAGTACTAGGCACCAGTAAACCATTGGGGCTTTTTTCTGTTCCATTTTGTTGGTGTGTTGGGTATGTTATTGTCAAGATATTGTGTGCACTAAAGTCCCAATTCAAGACATAGGGATACATGTGTAACAGGTATGGGCAAACTTTGGCCCACCAGATGTTTTGGACTTCAACTCCTACAATTCCTAACAGCCGCTGTTAGGAATTGTGGGAGTTGAAGTCCAAAACACCTGGAGGGCCAAAGTTTTCCCATGCCTGATGTATAATATGATACTGCAGATAATATCATTTAAATTTAGGCCCTCAAACTTTCCCCAGTGTAAATATTGGTAGTGGTGTTATCTTTTATCCCACCCATTCCCACAAAACTATGTTATTCTCAGGGAAAGAAAATCAGGATGTAGAAGGGAACCAAATACCAGATCACACTCAAGGTCCTTCTATATTGAGTGGATGCCCCAAGGACTCTGGCAGAGGTCTTGTGGGCTATCTGACCTTTACAATAGAAACTGCTGGAGTTTGAATATAAGACTTCATGGAGGAGTTTGGATGCAGGAATGCATGAATAGGGCATGTCCTACTACAAAATTAAGCTTCTTCTCCCTGGATTAGTTAAGAAATAGTGACTGACTGAAGGTCAACCAGTGGACTTCATAAACAGAATTTTTCAGACTATTCCCTCACCCCTTTAGCAACGAAAGCCACTGACCATGCTTCCTGGGTGATTTTGAGAGCCATAATCCAATAAACTAACCATCTTCTCGAATCAAATCTGCTTGTTAGTTGTGCCTCTGAGTTCTACTCCAGAAAACTAAGCAAATGCTTGATTTCCCCAGTGAAATCAGTGGAAGCCTAAAGTTTGCTTGAATCATATCTGCTTGTTAGTTGTTTCTTTTCTGCCCAGATAGAGAGTGGGATGTGGTCTATTTCCGCCTGAACAATGGTCCTCTGTTATGATCCGAGTGCACCCATCTGTTCTTCATTGCCCCTTTAAAAGTGCTATCCAAAGTCCTTGGACTATAGATTGAATATGGCAAACACACCCATGCTTTGGTTCCTCGCAAAACCAATGTAGAATAAGCCGGGCAGTAATTTGTTTGGGTTTGTACAGAACAGCTCTCGGATGAGGGTTCCTTTGAAGTGCTTCCCACGAAAGCTGGTTGCATATGAATAGCAACAGTACGAAATATCAAATTATACACATTTTAAATGCGTGCGTTGGTTTGTGAGACATTTAAAAATGCATACCTTAAAAAGTATATTTGGTTGCATTCAAAGTGGGTCATTGGTCTAACTTCCTGCAGCTGTGGAACATCTGCAACAAATAAGCAGATACCCTATTGCTGTGTGAAATATATACTTTAAGCACTGAGGCTCAAATCAAGCACAGAGGGGGTTTGGTCTCTTTAAAACCATACACATTGCATGGCTGACCTCTTTATGTTGCATTTGTCAACTGCTTGCTAACATAAATATCAGTGAAAATGATTGAACATGGATGTCCCCATTGATGTATACAAGGGAGAAGGCTGCACCTGCATAGCTTTCAAGCCATCACACACTCAGAAGCTATCATAAATCAAACTTGGTTTCTGGCTAGGAATTCTATACAGATTAGACCCGTTCATAACACCAAGCTCTAAAGAGGGGACAGGGGCCAATGCTGGTATCGTGTGCTACAAAAAACATCAGGTGACTATATAGTACTGCAGTGACAATCTAATCAAATCCCTTGCATGATATGAGTGAAAAAAATTTTAATCGGTTTTTTTTGTCCCATTCCCTTGTATGGTGACCTTCAACCATCCAATATTCTGTTCTTAGGCTTACCCAGGGGACAACACAACGCGAACTCCAATCAAAACAGACCTCTACCTGCAAGTGGTTATCTATGACCATGTCCTGAGAAGAAAAATCTGACTTAACCTTTTCCCCAAGGAACAAATAAACAGAAAAGAGTTATGAATGTGTGGCAAAAATTGATTTGTAGTACTACAAGGCACAAATGTACTACTTAATATGTCAAGGGAGCACTTTCCTATAGCTAGTTGTTAGTTATATACCATTTGTTCCGTGTATAATTTTGAATAACATGCAAAGTACCTTCAAAACTCACTGAGCAATTTCTGGGTCTCTTTACTTTTGAAACTAGAGGATATATTTCCTAACCTACAGTCCTCTAACTGCACACTGAAACTACCATTAAGTATGATATCTCTGTAGTCCAGAACATCTGGAGGATAACAGTTTGGGGAAAACTAACCAGACTATTGAGCTGGAAGACAACACCAAGATTCCTCTTCAAATGAGCCTCCCGTATTTCCCCTTCCTTAAAGAGTCTCACACCTCAGCCCAGGAGCCCAGGAAATTGTATTTAGCATCTCAAAGGGAGTAATTCGCTTTGTCTCTTTGCAAATCTTTAATTAAATGTACCCATCTATAAAGATGTGCCTCTTCCTGCAGGTGAGAAACAGGGGTTGCCATGGACCAGGTGCTCACAGGCAGGGCTGAGAGAAATCCGTTTGGGAATTAGCAAAGAGCCAAAGAAATCACATGGAAGAACACCTTTAAGTGAAGGCCTACTGTCAATAAACCCATAAAAAGGGACACTTAGAATCATAGAGTTGGAAGAGACCTCATGGCAATCCAGTCCAACCCCGTGCCAAGAAGCAGGAAATTTCTCTCTGAGTGGTAGGACGATCATCCTGAATCAATCTGTCAACCTTTTGCTTGTGAAACTCGGTGGTTGCTGTCACAGGATGCCCAACTATTCGTTTGTCACGCAAGTCAGATGTTCCCACATCAATATCTTTCAACTTACTCACCCAATGGCACACAGTACTCACATCAACACAATCACTATAAACAGCTCTAATGAATCTGCTTTGGGGTGACACCTTCTGCTGTCAAGAATTCGATGATTGCACATTGCTTAAGTCACATTGATTGACTGTCTGCACAGGGTTCCATACTTTGCATTTTAACAACACAGCTATTCAATGCTAAGTCTGCCTGCCAAAATGGAACTGTAGAGGAGAATCTACTGAACAAGCTAGTACCTGCCCCATACCAGTACTGCCATCTGTTGAGGAGTTACGAAGGTGGAGGCATTTCTTTTCATTCAACCCTCGTATGTTCTACAACTGACATTAAAAAGACCAATTACTTCTGTAGAAGAACTCATGGATGAGTAAGACACCGATAGGGATGAAAAGATTAAGACACAAAACTGAAATTTAAGTGCATCTGTTTCGTTCTCCCCTCAATCTTCTTGTTAAGTCAGCCATTCATGAAGACAATCCTTCTGCTTGCAAATATTGATTGTTTCCAGTGGTCAAGCAAACAATGTTTGTTTTAATTTGCAGTTTCTATTGCTAAAACCTATTCACTGTCCAAAGAATGAAAACAATGGGATGTTTTCAAAGCTCCACTATTATCTTCAGCGAAACTCTGAGTACACTGAGAACTGTGTGATGATGGTTTTGTTGGATTTGTTGGATTTGTGATGAAGTCAAGCACATTCTTTCAAACCTTTGAATCAGCCATTCCCTCCAATCTAATTGCATTTTAAGGTAACAAAAACTTGACATAGCCCACAGAATGCATGGGATTTATCCAATCTAGAAATACACTCTCACATGAAAAATAACCAGACCAAAAGATTAAATAATAATAAATAGAATAAAACTTCTAAATACTGCATGTGGAAATTGTTTCTTTATGGTATAATCAGTGTATTCTTCCTTATTCTCCACAATTGAACATATCTTGATGTTAGTTAAATTATAGCAAGATTAGAAGAACATTGTGTAATGGGTTGCTGTAAGTTTTCTGGGCTTTCTGGCCATGTTCCAGGTGCATTCTCTCCTGATGTTTCATCCACATTTATGGAAGGCATCCTCAGAGGTTGAGGGGTCTGTTGGAAACTAAACAAGTGAGGTTTGTCAAGTTTTTGTTACCATTTCAGGAGAAAATGCTTCTTGAACATGGCCAGACAGCCCAGAAAACTCACAGTAACCCAGTGCTTCCAGCCATGAAAGTCTTCAACAACCTATTGTTTAGTGGTTTGATACTGGGGCCCGTTCCACACAGCTGAATAAAATCTCATATTTTCTGCTTTGAACTGGAATAAATGACAGTGTGGACTCAGATAACCCAGTTCAAAGCAGATATTGTGGGATTTTCTGCCTTGATATTCTGGGTTATATGGTTGTGTGGAAGGGCCCTGGGAGACCAGAATTCATATTCCTGCTGAGTCATGTAAAACCAGTGGATAATCTTGGACAAGTCACACTCTCCGCATCTGAAGATGGCAATGGAAAACTCTTCTCTGTACAAATTTTACCAAGAAACCTCTGCAATATGTTCATCTTAGGGTTGCCATATGTAGGAAGGACTTGAAGGCACATAACATCAACACAAAATAGCGCTATCTCTGTGCTAAAGGGTAGAAAAATGACATCATGGTACTTAAATCACAATGTAAGTCTGCATATGTCTAGGTCTTCTGTCCATTCAAGTCACCACGGTAGTCCATTTGCAAGTACAGTACACCCACAATTTCTGTGGGGGAATGTTCCAAGATCTCCTAGGGATAGATGAAAACATGGATAACAACAAACTTTGCATTTTGACAATGCATGGGCTGAAAAAATACCATAGAATAGCAGTACAGAACCAAAGCCCTTTCCACAGAGCTGAATAAAATCCCACATTTTCTGCTTTGAACTGGAATATATGACAGTGTGGACTCAGATAACCCAGTTCAAAACAGATATGGTGTGATTTTCTGCCTTGATATTCTGGGATATATGGCTGTGTGGAAGGTCCCCTAAAGAATATATATATATATATATATATATATATATATATATATATATATATAGCGTGGATAAGTAAAATTGTAAATATTAGCTCCATGGATAGGTAAAAGTAAAGGTTTTCCCCTGATATTAAGTCCAGTTGTGTCCAACTCTGAGGGGTTGGGGCTCATCACCATTTCTAAGCTGAAGAGCCAGCATTGTCCGTTGACACCTCCAAGGTCATGTGGCCAGCATGACTGCATGGAGCGCCGTTACCTTCCAGCTGGAATGGTACCTATTGATCTACTCACACTTGCATGTTTTCAAACTGCTAGGTTCGCAGAAGCTGGGACTAACAGCGGGACCTCATGCCACTCCCTGGATTCGAACCTGTGACCTTTCGGTCAGCAGGTTCAGCAGCTTAGCGGTTTAACCCACTGGGCCACTGGGGGCTCCAAAAATCCACAGATAGGGTAGTCATTTTGTTTAAGAGCACCATGACTTATTGCATTCAGATTCTGCTACTAAAAACATTTCTTAGAAAAAATATTCCAGATTACCATATTCCATATATAACGAATGTGCCAAATTTATTTATATGTATTTATTTAGAACTTTTATATACCGGTCTTCTCATCTCCGACGAGTGACTCAGGCCAGTTTACAACAAAGGAGTTCATATACAATAGTTAAAAACATTGCATCCTATAAAACTCTAATATAAAACACATTAAAATACAATCATATAATTACATAAGGCCAAATCATCTGAATAAAATCACAATCCATCACCATCCGTCCGTGTGATCAAGGGTTATTGACTCGCTCATCAAATGCCAGGTTCCAGAGCCAGGTTTTCACCAACTTTCTAAAGGTCAGGAGGGAAGGGGCAGTTCTAATCTCCAAGAGAGAGAGAGTTCCAGAGCCGAGGGGCCACCACCGAGAAGGCCCTGTCCCTCATCCCCACCAGACACGATTGCGAGGGTGGTGGGACCGAGAGCAGGGCCCCTCCAGAAGATCTTAGCAACCTTGATGGTTCATAGGGGAGAATCCGTTCGGACAGGTAAATTGGGCCGGAGTCGTTTAGGGATTTATAGGTTAACACCAGCACTTTGAATTGTGCTCGGAAGCTAATTGGCAGCCAGTGGAGCTGACGCAATAGAGGAGCAGTATGCTCCCTGTACCCCACTCCTGTTAGTAATCTGGCTGCCGTTCGTTGTTTATTGTTTATGTCTTAAGGAAATGTTATCCGGAAATAGCTGCTATTCCAGGTCTCCAACTGGTACTAAAAACAGCACACAGCACTGCTGCAAGATAAGCTTTCTTGGTGTTAAAAGGTGCTGTAGGTTGTAGGGCTGGTCCATGAAGTCACGAAGAGTCAGAAACAACTGAACGAATGAACAACAAACAGGTTGTCTATAGGAGGGATGGCAGTTCAGTCCTTTAGCTTTGCAGCAACAGATTGAGTAGGGTTAATTCTAACTATCCCATGGCAGGAACTCTCCTTTCTCCAAGCAGTCCTTGAGCTGTGAAACATTTCGATTCCTGGGTGAGGCAATGGGAGATGGATCCCAAAGGTTTATACAGTTCAGAAGCAATCAAAGGAAATCAAAGTGCACAGTTGTGACACATCTCCTGCCCTAATAGCCAAGAGAGCTGCACAAAGTTTACTCCTACAGTCCATTCTCAAGCCTTTGCTCTCTTCTTGGCCTTATGCTTCAAGCAAAAGCAAAACTAGTAGGGCCTATTAAATACAAATGAACTCTTTATATGGCACTGGGCAGCTGTTAATGTTTAGCCATGATGCTAATAAGGATTCTGAAAACCATCTTACCTGGTGGCAGAGGCAATGCTCACTGCATTTCCCCATAAAGAATTACTTCTAAGGTGTAATTATTACCTTTTCCCCAGCACTAAAATAACACCCTGCCTTAACTAGAAAATGCAGTTGGTTCCTAGATAACACACCCATTTAGTGGAATGTGTGCCCCAGGTATCAAGAGAATACATTTTGGGTAATTCAAGGCCTCTTCTCTGCATCAAGCCCATGAGAAGATTTGGATTAGCAATCTAAATAAATAAACATGCATGCTTTTCCTGACCTATTTCTAAGTACCGTAAATGCATCCATCAAATGTGTGTCTCATATCTCAGGCAATA